TATATATATATATATATGTATAGGTGTTCATTCTGGAAGATTAGCTATGACTAAGAGGGATCACACATTATCAGCTTCATACCCCGTTTTAAGGGTTCGGCCACTGAGATTGAAACAAGAATCCGGTAGATAGCACCCCGTAGTAAAATTGCTAATCTTCACGAATGTTCCAATAAAATTGCCAATCTGTTCCAGCACTATATCTGAGGCATACCCCACTGGTAAGTCAGACAACTGCACCCACATGTCTAATGTATCCAGGACAACCGATCTCGGAAGTTCACCCACACAAACTTGCTTGCAGGAAAGAGTGCTGTTTTCAAATGACCAAGGGCCCTCCTCCTGTACCCATTGAATATCTGTTTATGGAAAAAAGATGAAAAGAAAAAAGATATGGTTCTATATAGAGATCTGCACCCACTGTACCGGACACTAAACTGATGCCATGACCTGTTGCATAAATTGCATACTGATGAGTTTGTCCGGTAGGAAGTTGCCAATCAACATCCAACTGTCAGATCTTGCACCTTCGCTGCCCTGAACTTCCACCCCCACTGGCATGATGCCAGCTTTTTCCTCTGCAATCTTGATCTCACAAAAAAAGGATGAACCCCATCAGAACCCCCAGAACCAACCAGACGTTCCCTGAGAGGAGGTAAATTGGGCTTTAATCGTGGCAAGGAGTGGTGCCTGCACCTAGTACTTCTAGAGGCCTTATATTTAGCATAGTAGTCTCTTGGCCGAACGTTTTTTTTTAATCTCACCATAGCGGGATGCCAAATTTTCAATCGCTGCGGCAGAGGTTGCTGAACCCATTGAAGGTAAGAGACTGACCTGAAAATCCCACCAAATGCTGACTGAAACCAAACACAGCAGACGCCGGAACACTAGAAAATCTAGGAGAGGTAAAGAAATTTGTGTGAGTTTGATGGGCATTGTTTATCTGGTGAATTTCTATTTCTATTATAAAGCAAATCGTCCTTTGTAGAATGGTGCTTTTATTTAGAATGTAATTTATTTTCTTTGGTTAGTGCTCCTGCCTCCTTGTGAGGTCTCATAGTGAAATTTGCCATAGCTTTTATGCTAAGGATCTCGTTTTCTTGGTATAATTGCAGTGCGTATCTTTTAACAGAGGAGACAGAGATCATAGATGGTGCCAGGACGAGAAGAGAGAGCTTGAAGAGCATTGTGGTGTGGGATTTAAATGCCTTGTGTTGCAATTTACTCCATTTTCTATTTTTGCTTGATTTGATATGCATGTGGAAAGTAAGGTCGCTGGGAGTTGCTTTTGTATGTGAAAATGCATGCAATTAATAGTCACTAAATCTAAGGTGAAAAAATAGAAAACATGCATTTTAATTTTGCCATTAAATCTAAGGCAATCAATCTAATAAGATGTTTTGATGACGAGTTTCATTTTTTTGTACCCCCCCTGTTGCTACCATTTTAGCAATGTAAAAGGTATACTCTTTTTTGTTCCAAGTGTTAATTTACTTGTGCATTTTTTTTGACAGATGAGTTTAGGTCTTTTTTGTTCCAAGTGTTAATTTACTTGTGCATTTTGTTCCAAGGTATACTCCGTGCAACACTAGCTGATACTCTTCAGAATTGTCTAGTTGTGACCTCCACTTTCTTTTTGTAAAAAATTGCAGTGTTTGAAGAGGCATGGCAAGGAGTCAAAGGAATGCCAATTTAATGTTGAGACGCTTAAAAACATGTGTGATATAGAAGCTTAATGACAAGCCGTTTTCAAGAGATTCTATTGATGTTCATCGTAATTGTCCTAGTTACTTACTCCGTATAAGACCTTGGAAAGACAGTCAGGCGTGGATGTTTTTAAGGAGTACTTTAAATATTGAGTAAATTCTGTAATTGGTTCTTTATAACGGGGAGGTTTCCCTATATAGTTCTTTATTACGGAGTATCAAATATTACCCAAGTAGTCCTTTTTTTATGGGTACCTTTTCACAAATAGTCCTTTTTTGATCTTCTATTAAGTTGATGTTAATTTAAGGGCTAAAAGTGTAATTTCACAATAATAATATATCTTTTTTTGTCATACACAATTTCAAAGGCTGTTCTGTTTGCATCGTTTGTGAATTACAGTTGCTTTCTACTACAATCATAGTCTACAAATGTGGTCATTTGTCAGAACACTAGCCCACAAATATAGTCATTATTTTTGTGTTATTCGCTTAACCAATATTAGAATACGTCACTAAACATAATGTTGATGTTGGATTATGCTTTTAGCCTTTAAATTAACACCAACACGACAGAAGATAAAAAAGACCATTCGTGGAAAGGTACTCTTAAAAAAAGGACCATTTGTGGAAAGGTATCCTTAAAAAAAGGACTACGGGGGTAATATTTGATAATAGAGGACTAAATATAAAAATCCCCCTGTTATAAAGGACCAATTATGAAATTTACTCTTTAATATTTAATGAAATTTTGATCGAGTCGGATTTACGTTATAATTAAATATAATTTTTTTCATAAAATGATCAATGGATGTTAAATATGACCAAACTCCTATGACATTTATGCCTTATTTGGTTGAATGCTTATGACATTATACTCTTGTTTTTTGATATGCAATGTTGGATTGCGGAAATCGTATCTCTTTTATTTATTACTAGTGCATCACTCCTACCATTCAGGAGAATATGATATATCTATAATTAGAGTAACCAACATGGTAACATTGCTTTGTTTATTTGTGAAATTAAATGCTGCAAAAATGATAAATGAACATAACACTATGAAATGTATTCCTTTAATATTGTTAACTTATACTCTCTCTTTTCAATAAAATACTTCACATTTCATTTTTTACAATCCACCAAAAGACTTTCGATTCATTTTCTATTAAAAATCTACTTTTAACTCTATTTTTTACCTTATCAATTACATCATATTTTTTACTAATAATATATCTATCACATCTTATTTTTACGAGTTACATTGATGGCAAAATTAAAGTCAACTTTAATTTAATTATTCTTTATTTTGGTATTTCTAAATATTTGACTAAATTAAAACACTTCATCATATCTAAATTTGTAATCAAATTAACGTTTAAATCTAATAGGGATGCACTATGAGCACTAATGTATGCCGCCTCCCCCCCCCAAAGGTTTTATTCATATGTCATGTTGTCTAGATTTTGATTCTACGATTGTCGTCTCAACAATTACTCTTTTTTAATTATACTATTTTCAACAAAAGTTATATGGATGCGGGCTAAATTGTTTCTACCATGTTTGCTATTCAATTAATGTTCGGTTCAAGATATTTTGTTCTGAGATGAGCATTTTAAAATTTTATTTTTATACGGAGTATATTTTTAAATTTTGACTTTTTGTAGTAAAAAATTATACTAGATATGGATAAAAAATAGTTTTATTTTCTAAAATATTTTTAAAATACAAAATATTTTTTGAGTAAATTTTATAATTGGTCTTTTATAATAGATGGGTTTCCCTATTTAGTCCTCTATTATCAAATATTATCTCAGCGGTCCTTCTTTTATGGGTATCTTTCTACAAATAGTCCTTTTTTTTATTTTCTATAATATTGGTGTTAATTTAGGGCTAAAAGTTCAATTTCACAACAATAATATACTCCGTATCTTTTTTGTCATACACAATTCCAAAGGCTGTTCCGTATGCATCCCTTGTGAATTACAGTCGCTTTTTACGACAACGATAGTCTACAAATGTGATCTTTCGTCAGAATCTTAGCCCACAATCATAATCATTATTTTTGAGTTAATCCGCTTAATCAATATCAGAACACGTCACTAGACATAATGTTGATGTCAAATTATACTTTTAGCCTTTAAATTAACACCAATACGGCAGAAGATCAAAAAAAGAACCATTTGTGGAAAGGTACCCTTAGAAAAGGACTACAGGGATAATATTTGATAATAAAGGACTAAACATGGAAACCTCCCTGTTATAAAGGACCAATTATGAAATTTACTCTATTTTTTATAGAATTAATATATCATGTTATTTTTATTTAATTATAGATCGAATATCGATCCTTGTTGACTACAAAAAATAAAAACAAATAGATAAATACTCTAAGAGGGAAGAAGTATTATTAATAATTGAATTACGTGCTATGGGCTATGGCATACTCTCATTCATCCAAAAATTTCACATCAATATTTTGATGGTTCACATTGACACAAAGTATTGGTTTATTAACAAAAATTTACACGGAGAGAAAATGTTGGTGCATTAACAAAAATTAGCATTACATCAACACAAAATGTTGGTGCAAGTACAAGTAGCTAAATAGGACATTTTTTTCTCGTTACTTTATTTGACAAATTTTTATGTGTAAAATATCTCATATACCCATAAAAATATCGAGCCACCCCAATTGCCCATCAAGCCGCATAACTTTTTGCTTCCATCTCATCTTCTTCCCCAAATCTTCCATAAAAAATTCGAGCCACCCCATTCCACTATTAAAATATTAAATCAATATTCTTATTTAATAAAAAAATAATCATAAAATAAAAAATATAATTATGTTAAAGGAAAGAAAATATTTGGTAGAATATTTGGAGATATTTGTGTATATATTATTTTTGGTAGTTTCCTTGTATAGGGTTGATTTCGTTTCCTTTTGTGATTAGGTTTCTCAATCTGTGAGAGCCTATATATATACATGTCTACTTTGTAAATGGAACACAAGAAATCCAGAGAGAATTTCCTCCCGATTCATTATTCTTTCATAATTCTTTCATGGTATCAGAGCCAAAACCCTAGAAATTTTTGCCCGGCATGGCGTCCATCGATCGTTGCTCAGTTTTTGTCGATTGTTGCTGCTGCCGGATAACGGAACGGTCGACCGTTGCTCTAGAACGGTCGAGCACGTCGACCGTCCCGTCGGCAGATTGTTTGATTGATGCTGCTGTTGATTCTTCCGCCAACGCCGTACGCCACTCTGCTACCGCCATGGCCGATGAATAACCAAGGAAGATGTTTTTCTCGCTATCATCGTGTGTTTCTAGTTTGAAGCTTTCAGGTATTCCTGTGTCACCGCGGTGGATTATAGATACTGGGGCATCAAATCATATGACTGGTGATATTTCGTTATTGTATGATGTTGTGGGAATATCACCGTGTGAGATTGGTTTGCCCAATGGGAAAAGAATTGTCTCTGTCCAATCGGGGAAGATTAAATTGACAGAAACATTAATTCTACATGATGTTTTATATGTCCCCACTTTGAGTTGCCATTTAATCTCTGTGTCACAATTGACAAGGGATTCGAATTGTGAGGCACGTTTTGCCAACAATAAGTGTATACTACAGGATCTGAATTTGAAGATAGAAATTGGTATGGGTGAGCAGGAAGGAGGACTTTATTACTTTAAGGAGCCTGAAAAGAAGATGGTGTGCAGTGCAAAAAAGGAGAGTAAGTTTGATCTTTGGCACAAACGACTTGGACATCCTTCCTCTCATGTTTTGTCTCTTGTTCCTGAAGTTGGAACAAGTAAGAGAAGTCACAGTTGTTGTGACATTTGTTTACGTGCTAAACAGACTCGTGGGAGTTTTCCTATAAGTTATTATCAATCTGTTGATAAATTTGATATGATACACTGTGATTTATGGGGACCATATAGGACTCCAAGTCTTGATGGTTCTACAATGTTTTTGACTATTGTGGATGATTTTTCAAGAGGTGTTTGGGTACATTTGCTTGACTCCAAATGCAAGGTTGGCACTGTTTTTAAACAATTCTGTGCTATGGTAGAACGACAATTCGGGAAGAAAATAAAGTGTGTTCGCAGTGATAATGGTACAGAATTTGAATGTCTAAATGAATATTTCCAGGAGCAAGGAATGATTCATGAGACGTCTTGCGTGTCTACTCCACAACAGAATGGGAGAGTAGAACGCAAGCACTGACACATTTTGAATGTGGGTCGGGCTTTGAGGTTTCAAGCTGGTCTTCCGATTGAGTTCTGGGGAGAGTGCATACAGACCGCCGCACATCTGATCAATCGTACACCGTCGTCTTTGCTAGGGGGGGTCACACCATACGAGAAGATTTATGAAAAGCCCCCCTCTTTGGCTCATATTCGTGTTTTTGGATGCAGATGCTATGCTCATAACTTGAAAAGGAATGGTGATAAATTTGCACCAAGAAGCAATCCTGGAATATTTGTTGGATATCCACAAGGGAAGAAGGGATGACGTATTTTCTACCCGGACACTGGGGAAATCAAGGTGTCCTGGGATGTTGTATTTTGTGAAGATATTTTCCCTTTCTTGACTCCTACAGGTGCATCTCTTGATACAGGAACCACAAATGAAGTTGGCCCTTATGAGGAAGATGAAGAACTGCGGACGGAAGAACAAATGGACCGTTCCAGGAGGGACAGTCGACCGGAGGAAAGCAGCAGAGCTGACCGGCTACAGACGGTCGACCTGATGGACCGTTCCGATGCCCACGGTCGACCGTCAGAGAGGCAGAATGACGGATCTCTGAGAGATGACCGAACGGTCGATCTGGTGGACCGTCCTGATATCCACGGTCGACCGTTCGAGAGGCAGAATGACGGTTCTTTGAGAGATGATCAAACGGTCGACCGTGATGAGGAAGACGGTCGACCGTCTCCGAGACAGAAAGTTAGCGATCCAGAACAGCTCCAAACGGTCGACCCTGTGGACCGTTCCACGGACGGCGGTCGACCGTCCCCTTCCCAGCCAGCGGTGGAGAACTTGGGACGTGGTCAGCGTGAGAAACGTCCAAATGTACGCCTTGCCGATTATGTTACCCATGTGGTTGGACCATATGTCGGGGAGAAATGCAAATATCCTCTCTCGTCATATGTCACATATGAGAAGTTTAGTCAGAAACATAAGTGTTTTCTCAGCGCACTTGATGCTGAAGTGGAGCCCACGAGTTTCAAGAAGGCATTCTAGGATGAACGATGGAGGAAGGCTATGAGAGAGGAGATTGATGCACTGGAGGCTAATGGGACGTGGTCTCTTGTCTCTCCTCCACGTCATAAAAAGCCCCTTGGTTGCAAATGGGTATATAAGATCAAGCGCAAGGCCGATGGAAGTGTGGAGAGATATAAGGCCAGACTTGTTATACTTGGCAATCATCAGGTTGAAGGACTTGACTACAAAGAAACATTTGCTCCTGTAGTCAAGTTGACCACTATGAGAACGCTTTTAGCAATTGCAGCAGTTAAGGGGTGGGAATTGCATCAGATGGATGTTCACAATGCATTTTTACACGGAGATCTTCAGGATGAGGTGTATATGAGATTGCCACCTGGTTTCTCAAATTCGTCTAATGTGGTGTGCAAACTCAAGAAGTCTTTGTATGGCTTAAAGCAAGCTCCAAGGTGTTGGTTTGCCAAGTTGTCTGGAGCCTTGAAACGCTATGGGTTTGTCCAATCTGTTGCTGATTACTCCTTATTTTCTTTTGTTGGAAAGAAAGGAGTCATACATGTTTTGGTTTATGTTGACGATTTGATTATTGCTGGAGATAATACAGAGATGGTAAGCAAGTTCAAAGCTTATCTCGGAGATTGTTTTCATATGAAGGACTTGGGAACACTGAAATACTTTCTTGGCATTGAGGTGGCGAGGAGCACGTCTGGGATTTTTCTCTGCNTTTTTGAAGGAACCAAGGGAGGATCAGTGGTCTGCGGCCCTTAGAGTTGTTCGTTATTTGAAAGGATGTCCGGGTCAGGGCATTTTTCTGTCAGCAGAGAGTAGTCTTCAACTCACAGGATGGTGTGATTCGGACTGGGCAGCATGTCCTTTGACGAGGCGGTCACTGACAGGGTGGTTTGTGCAGCTTGGAGACTCGCCTGTCTCATGGAAAACAAAGAAGCAGTCAACAGTGGCTCGCTCGTCTGCTGAAGCAGAGTATAGAGCTTTGGCTGTCCTTACATGTGAGTTGAAGTGATTGAAGAATGTATTGCGGTGTTTAGGGGTTGAGCATAAGAACCCCATGACGGTTCGGTGTGACAGCACAGCAGCACTTCACATTGCTGCTAATCCGGTTTTCCATGAACGCACGAAGCACATTGAGATTGATTGTCACTTCGTTCGTGATGAGCTCTTGCAAGGAGAGATTCGTACAATTCATGTGCCTACTACGCATCAGCTTGCAGACATTCATACAAAGGCACTCGGAAAGTCACGTTTGGAGTTTCTTCTTCCCAAATTGGGCATTTCGTTACTACATGCTCCAACTTGAGGGGGGGGGGTGTTAAAGGAAAGAAAATATTTGGTAGAATATTTGGAGATATTTGTGTATATATTATTTTTGGTAGCTTCCTTGTATAGGGTTGATTTCGTTTCCTTTTGTGATTAGGTTTCTCAATCTGTGAGAGCCTATATATATACATGTCTACTTTGTAAATGGAACACAAGAAATCCAGAGAGAATTTCCTCCCAATTCATTATTCTTTCATAATTCTTTCAAATTACATTATAATATGAATGATTATTCTAATATATAAATTAGAATAATCTAAGGGTCTTTGGGTCGTGAGGCTGACCTAAATAGACATCTTCCTCGGTCTGTGTTGAACTGAGTTGACAGGCTTTTTGTTTGTTTAGCTATAAGTATGGTCTAAATCTAGGGGTCTTTGGGTCGTGAGCTGGACCACTAATATGCATTTTTGGTTTGAGGCGGAATCTTGTTGGGTCTCTAGGGTGGTTAGGCAAATCACATGATTGTTTCATCAGAAAATAACTCTAGGATACCATTGATTTATTTTTGTAAAAAACTCCTAGTTCCATATTTAAAAAAATATTTTACGATATCCTTCATTTTCTAACAAAGACTTATAGGTCTCATATTATGCAAAATATACTCTAAATTTTATTATTTTGACATATACTAAGTTTTACTTTGATAATCATTATTTTATTATATTCTAATAAAATATTTCCATTTGTGAAAGTAAATGAATTTCAACCCTAATAAACGGAATGTACTCTTGAAATACAATATCACAAATTTAATGAATTCTAATATATTTTAAATAATGTGAGACATGAGATGTAATTAGTATTACCACCTTTATCCCTGCATATTAATGGGTAACCTTGCACTGAATTACTGTTTTGTTTTGATCCACAACGTGTGAATGGTCCACCTATTTGCGTTGCATTACCTTGCAAAGTTTTGGATAGTCCCTCTCTGAACTTTAACATGTTTAACTTTATCCATTAGTAAATCAACAATACATTTCCTTTCATTTTCAAGTAATCTAAGCCTGCTGATGGGTAATAACCCACGGATACCACCCAGTTGGTTCGCCCGACTGGGTGGTGATTGAAGTGATAGAGCGCATCCTTCTTAGACCGGGTCGTGAGGCCGGTGGGCTGGGAGGATTGAACGCCAACAACTATAGAGATGTTCTCCAAGTGCTCTTATGGGGCCAGTCAGAGGAATGACCGGTTGAATAATCAGAGACGTGCTTGACGTGCTTAACTTTGTTATAAATATCATTAAAATCCTCATTTCTGAGGTATGTTTTTTATTAACCTACACGGCTTGTACTTTGTAATAGTCCTAATATTATCAATAACAAACCGGGTTACATGTGTTTCCACCTACAACCTTTCCGATCACTTATACTTAATATTTGCGTGGTAATTTACACCATCAAATTGGCGCCATCCGTGGGACCCCTTTACAAAAGTCATGGCAAGCAACCAGGAAACTGTGATCTCACAAATTTCTACTCCCGCTGAGAACGTCACTTCGTTGCCGGGAGGAAGTACCCAATCGTCAAGCCAGATTCCTACCCCCATTATCACCATTTCACCACCTACCCCATTCACTTCCCCCATGAACCCCGTGCCTGTTTTTCCTTCAAATTTCCCCGGACCCCTTGATCCAATGTACAGCCAGGCTCTTCAGAGTTTTGGACATTTCATGTCCATGTTTCAGCAACCGGAAGGATTTTCACCTTTTATTCCAGGATTGTACCCACAATCCTCGCCTCAAACTAACATCATTCGCCCGGTCGTCCCGACAAACCTCATCGGGGAGATGGACAAAGCAGGTCCATCCCGATCTAGGAGGAGCCTGTCCCGTAGGTCGCAGACAAAGGTGACCTCGGATGGGAATGTGCGTTCAGTCCATAGCAAAGACGAGGATTGGGATGTCCCCCAAGCGCTCAAAAAATTGAAGGGAAAGGCTGTTCAACCAGAAGGATCTAGGAGGTCGGCCTTTCAAAGGCTGGGACACGATGGCCAAAATCAAAACCGGTCAGCAAAGGAGCGGTTGGGGGTGGAGACCATCCCGGCTAGTTCCCTTAATCGTGTAGGGGAGCGGGCCGGACGACCTGGTCAGACCAAGCGAACGGAACCACCCCCACGAGATGAACCCCAGCACAGCCGGGCACCACGAGAGGAGGAAGCAGAAAGCCACCCCAGGCACACGACTCGTACCCTTGTTGAGCCACGGGATCGTGTGGCCCGGGTTGAGGCACGACTGGAGAAATTACAGCGCCGGGTAGACCGGGAGGAAAAGAAGAAAATCCTGTTGAACGAATCCTCGTTCACAGATCGGGTTCATGAAACCCCATTTCCAAAGAAGGCAAAACTTGAGGTCCCAAAGTTCACCAGGAAGGAGGACCCGAAAATTCACGTCAAAACCCTCCATCAAAGCGGGCGGATGATGGGTCTTTCCGAGGATGAGAAATGTTTGCTTTTCTTTCAAACCCTCCGCGGCCGCGCCGCTGAGTGGTTTCATAACTTACCGGCCGGTGAAATCGACTCTTTCGATGAACTGGCTGAGGTGTTTCAAGAAAAGTTCAAAGAAAACTGTACCAAGAGGAAAAAGTTTACCTACTTGAGTACAGCCGGGCAGCGAGAGCACGAGGATCTAACAAAATTCCTTACCCGGTGGAAGGATGAGGTTGACAAGGTGGAGGAGATGGACGACAAAACAGCCATGTCCCTCCTTGTGTCCGGGCTCCGGTCCGGAGAATTGTATAAGGAATTCTGCAGGAGGCCTCCCCAGTCCTACCAGGAGGCCTACAAACCAGCTTGGGATTATGGTGACGCTGAAGCACAGGTGTCGTCTAAAAGGGAGGCCGAGCAGGGCCATCCCAAAGGAAAGATTTCCTTGAAGAAGGAAATTGAACTGCCCGATAGAGCAAAGGCTGAAATCATGGAGGTAAAGCCGGTCAAATCAGAGAAGAAACCGACCGGCGAAAAACAATGGACAGAGAAGTATTGCTCCTTCCACAAAACTGATTCCCATAACACTGTGGAATGCAACAGTGTGAAGGGAGTAATCAAACAAATGATTGAGGCCGGGGAGATCGATCCGGAATATTTGGCCCAGGCCAAACAAAAGAAAAACCAATGGGTTAGGCCTGAAGGACAGCCGGCCGAGCAGAACAAGAAAAAGAAAGCAGCCGGCAAGGAGCATCTACAAGTCATTTACGGCGGGCCGGAAGGGGGAGATTCTGCTTCCCAAAGAAAGAAATGGGGGCGAGAGCTTTACGTTGGAACGGTGGCCCTAAATCCCCGATCGAAACAAGTGAGACGGGAACCGATCACTTTTACTGACCGGGACCTTCCCGCCACCGGAGAAGATCACAATGACCCCTTGGTCATAACTATGGACATGGGTGGGGTCGATGTCTCCTGGGTACTCGTTGACACGGGCAGTAGTGTTAACGTATTGTACTTGGATGCATTTGAGAAGCTCAAGTTGTGTCGAACACGGCTTGAGCCCTTAAAGACTCCCCTGTCTGGGTTTACCAGGGACTCAGTCGAAGCTGAATGGTCGATCCTTTTAACTTGTGAGCTGGGCACAGGCGAACAGGTCGTCCAAAAGCAAATGAGGTTTGTAGTTGTGAACATCAAATGTGTTCACAATGCCATTTTGGGCCGGCCTGGAATAAACAAGGTCCGTGGGGTCATCTCCATGGCCCATCTCTGTATGAAATTCTATACCCCGGGAGGTATAGGACAAGTCAAAGGAGATCAAAAGAAGGCCCGACATTGCTATTTAGAGGCCGTAAAGAAAATGACAAAGGCGTTTGAGAGAGTCACTTTGGTCTCTCAGGAGAAAGACCGGTCGAAGTTAGAACCGGGCGATGAAACCGAACAGATTGTTCTCCGGGAAGCTTTCCCAGAAAGAATGGTACGGATTGGTAGAGATCTGCCCGGAGGACTTCGAGATGAAATCATCTCAGTCCTTCGGGAATATGCAGATATTTTCGCATGGAGTGTGGCGGATATGCCGGGCACTGAACGTTCTGTCATATGCCATCGTTTGGCTGTGATGGAAGGGAGCCGGCCTGTGAAACAGAAGAAGAGGCACTTGGCAAACGTCCGGAGGGACTTTGTGAAGAAAGAAGTGAGGGATTTGCTGGCGGTCGGGCACGTAAGAGAAGTACAATACCCGGCCTGGTTAGCTAACATCGTCCTGGCTCCAAAAGGCGACACCTGGCGCATGTGCGTGGATTACAAGGATCTAAACAAAGCATGTCCCATGGATTCATACCCGTTGCCCAGTCCCGATCAGATGGTCGATGAGACGGCCGGGTGTGAATTGCTCAGCTTCATGGACGCTTTCAAAGGATACCATCAAATTTTCATGGCTGAGGAGGACGAGGAGAAGACTTCCTTCCTGACTCCAGAAGGCACTTATTGCTACCGGGTGATGGCCTTTGGACTGAAGAATTCGGGCGCCACTTACCAAAGGATGGTAAACCGGCTTTTTAAGCCACTCCTCGGTAAGTCCATGGAGGCCTACGTGGATGACATGCTGATCAAGAGCCCGGGTGCGGAGAACCACCCGGTCGACATGAGGCTTTGCTTCGAGATTATGGCTAAGTACAGCTTGCGTCTCAATCCCAAGAAATGCGTCTTTGCTGTAAAGACCGGTAAATTTCTAGGGTTTATGGTGACCAAGCGTGGTATTGAGCCTAATCCGGAGAAGATTAAGGCCATAACTGAGATGAGGTCGCCCAGTTCACTAAAGGACGTACAACGACTTACCGGCGGTTGGCAGCCTTGAGTGGTTTTCTCTCCCGGTCTGCTCAGAGGGCTCTGCCTTTCTTCAAGGTTCTGAAGAAAGCTAATACATTCGAGTGGGACCGGGAATGCGAAGAAGCTTTCCAGCAGCTAAAGGAGTACTTAGTCTCTGATATTGTTTTGTCTAAACCCAAACCGGGTGAGACTTTGTACTTGTATCTGGGAATTTCCCAAAACGCTGTAAGCTCTGTTTTGATAAGAAATGAAGATGGCCAGAGGCCTATTTACTATGTGAGCAAAGCACTAAATGGGGCTGAAAGCCGGTACACTGCCATTGAGAAAACGGCATACGCACTTTTCATAACGGCCAAAAAACTGACCGCATACTTCCAGGCTCACACTGTGGAAGTACTGACCGATCAGCCACTTGGACCGGTCCTTCGAAATTCGACCTCCTCGGGAAGGTTGATCAAGTGGGCAATGATGCTCACTCAGTTCAAAATAGAATATAAACCAAGGACTGCAATAAAGGGTCAAGCTCTGGCAGACTTCCTCGTTGAACTGACCGGTCTGGAGCCCGAAGCCGGACCTTCCCATACGGTCGAACCATGGTGGGATATGGCCGTTGATGGGGCCTCTGGACCGAAGGGATGCGGGGTCGGCGTAGTCTTCACTACCCCGGAAGGATTCAAGATCTATCATGCCCTGGTCTTCAACTTCAAACTCACCAACAATGAGGCAGAATATGAGGCGTTGGCCGGTGGCCTTAGATTAGCCTGGACGCTCGGAATAAAAAGGATGAAGATCCGTTCCGACTCAAGTCTAGTGGTTGGACAGGTCAATGGTGAGATGGAAGTGAAAGAGGATCGCCTGGCCCGGTATAGTGACCTGGTCCGAGCACTTCTAAGGGAATTGGAGGAATTTTGTCTGACCAGGATACCCCGGTCAGAAAACGCTGATGCTGATATGCTTTCAAAATTGACGCAAGCCTGCCCGGAGCATGTGTCAAAATTGGCGAAAATTGAGATACTGGACGTGCCGAGTTTAGACCGGTTTGAAGTCGCGGCCATCCAACCGGGCCAGACTTCAGCGACCGGCATAATCGGAGCAGATGATGACTAGAGGTACGAACTCATGGAGTATCTGGAGACCGGTCAGAAGCCAGACGACGAGGAACGAGCTAGAAAAGTGGTCCTACGAGCTCCACGTTTCCAGGTAATCGATGGTCATCTATACAAGCGTGCCATTGGCGGACCACTCTTGCGTTGCCTTACCAACCCTGAGGCTGAACGGGTAATAGCTGAGGTACATGAGGGAGTTTGTGCAGCCCATCAGATGTCCCACACTTTGGCTCAAAGGATAATATTGCTAGGCTACTACTGGCCGACCATTGTTGGAGATTGTGAACGGTATGTCCAGAGGTGTAGAACGTGCCAGGTTTTCTACAAACATCCCGGCAGACCGACTACATATTACCAACCGACCTCTAATGTCATACCATTTTCCCAGTTTGGGATCGACATTATTGGAGCCTTCCCGGTTGCCCAAGGCGGAAAGAGATTCGTGATGGTCGCTATTGATTACTTCACTAAATGGATCGAGGCTGAGGCAATGGCTACCATAACCGTGCGACAGTGTGAGAAATTTGTTTGGAAAAACATTATCACCCGGTTTGGTGCCCCAAAGACCATTGTCACCGACAACGGTCCGCAGTTTCGTAACCCCCGGTTCACCGCGTACCTTGCCAGTTTCGGGATCAAGCATAGCAAGGCATCAGTAGCATATCCACAGGGAAATGGCCAAGTCAAAAATTCTAACCGGACAATTGTGGACGGTCTAAAAAAGAGACTGGGCGAGGAAGGACACAAGTGGCTGGAAGCTTTACCTCATACGGTCTGGGCGCATAGAGTGACTTCAAGGAGAGCAACTGGGGAGAATCTTTTCATGCGCACTTATGGATGCGAAGCCCGGTTACCAGTAGAGGCAGAAATTCCAACATTTAGAGAAACTATGTATCAGCCCGGTCAGAATGAGGTCGATCACCTCGCTGAATTGAATCTAGTGGAAGAACGAAGGACTGTAGCGGCTGTCAGGATGGCCGGTTACCAGCAGTCAGTAAAGCGGTATCATGACAACCGGGTAGGCCCACGATACTTCCAAGTGCATGATGAAGTTTTGCGCAGGAGGGATGCTAGTAAGCCTAATGAGAGGGGCAAGCTGGCACGTAACTGGGAAGGGCCCTATCGTGTAAAAGCAATTGTCAGACCGGGCACTTATCAGTTGGAGACTATGGAAGGTGGCCAGGTCGATCGACATTGGAACTCTCACCACTTACGTAAATTTAATTTTTTAGATAAAGTGTAATGAGTTCCCGGTCATTAATAAAACTTTTTTCTTTTCATAAAGATTGTTCCCATACATCAACCGGTAATTCGTCACGTGACAGTCTACCCGGTTAGATGTCCAATCGAATTGGACATCTCAAAAAAAAAGGAAAAGAGAGACCGGTCTGACCGATCCAACACCTCACCCGTACTGACACGAGAGTTAAAAACAATTTGGCTTAACTAAAGGGAGAGCATCCCGGCCAGTTTAAGCCAGATCGTTCTGCCAAAAAAAAAACTTAAGGTTTACCTTTCCACAAGGGTGTCAAGCCATTGTGTAAACATGTCGGCCTTACAAGAACCCGGGCACTTTTGTAACCTTTCGAAAAGGACAAGTCAATACGCCATCGAGGGTTATACCAAACCGGGAGGAAATTTATAAACCTTAAAGTCTTCCCGGCTGGCTATCTAGTCTTTCGAAAAGACTTGGGTAAAATTATATTCTAAGCCGGGTAAATACAGCCGGGCTGCTATTTACTACTCTAAACGGTTAAAGATATTAAGTTGAAAATACAGGGAATAAAAGCACTCAGCACATGATGATTGAGTTTTTCGGTAAGTCAACATTCCCAATGAAGGGTTAGTTTTCTCCGAGTGTCGTGTCTCTCGAGGAGTGGACGAAGAGAATTAGCTAATTTTTCTAACTAGACGAAGGTTAGGACAAGTCTAGAAGTCTTCTCGATTTGATTTAATAAAAAGTAAACTAAACTAATGAGTGCTTTTGAGAAAAAGAAAATAAATAGTACGGGTATAGGACTAGACTTCGGGCCAAGGCATCATCTGAGTTAACTACTGTTGTCACATATTTAATCAATAATTGGAATAATAATATTTCTGTCACAAATATTTCATTAACTTATCCTCTCTCAAGGCAACATTAATGTGTTCTAAAAAGTTTGGCTTAATTAATTTTATATCCTCATGGACAAGGCAAAAACTAATTTCCAATTATTAATTAATTTTTCTCTCGACATAACTAATTAATTTAAAATTAAAAATAATTCTAGAACAATTATTCCAACTATTAACTAAACATACAGAGTATATGCCCAAATTTAGCCAGGACCCTAATCTGGGCTTTAACCCATACTAGATATCAACAGTGCATAAAAGAAATGAACATTTTATTAAAATTGAAAGTATTTAAACTTACAACAGAGAGCAGAGTTGGAGCCACTTTGGGACAACCGGAACAAAAGTAAACTAAAATATTAAAATATAACTGAGAAAAGAGCGGAGAATGGAGTTCCGGGCCTTAAAGACCCGGAAGAAGGCTTGATTTGAATGAAGGGGCGAAGCCCTCCTTTTATAGGAGAAAATTTCGGTCCAGGCCTCTGACAGGCGTGGGCCTGAGGTCCAGGCGCACGCCTGGAGTGTTAGTGCTGCTGGCGAATGATGATGTGCGGCGGCTTGCACAATCAGGCAAATTAATTGTTGATGGCGTGAGTATTTTTTTTTTACTTTGTTGATTTGATGATGATGATTTTGAGTTGACACATGAAATTGGACGCAACTCCCTTGCTGCTGCTGCCACAGTAGGCCGGCCAGCCAGGTTGCGCCACGTGGCAGCGCCTGGTTGGCTGGATTTTTACTCGGTTTGAAAATATTTTCTAAAAATACATTCTTGCTCAAAATTTTATTCTGAAAAACTTTTCCTTCTGTGCCGACTTCAAATTCTGAACAGATCTCTTTGCTTCGTTGCATTCCATTTGCACAATCTTTTACACTTTTGTACCACTTTTGACTCAATTTTTATTCTTTTTACAACAAGACATAACTTTTGTACACTTTTGCAATAATGAATAAAAACTTATAAAAACCATTGAGAAATTGATTTGTTTAATCCAAAATTAGACAATAATACATTAAATATAGAGAAGATAAGTGCGTACAAAACGGACTTATCAGCACACAATGTTGAAAATACTTGTATTAATATTAAAGTGTCTTACAAAAGTGCCCGGAGGCATATCATTACATCAGAGGATAAAAAAAAGAGAAGAAGGTCGGACGGATCAGATGCCCGGGAATGGGGGGATAGGCGCCTCGTCATGCAGCTCGGGCAGTGAAAGGGCCTTGGGTCGAAAGCTTTGAATCCTCTACTCAAGGATGCCATAGAGGGCCTTCCGCTCAGAGTACTGGCCGCTTTCAAACCCGTAGGTCCCAATCTCGTCCACGATGCCGGCCGATACTGGATGCTTATACAGGCCTTGGAAGAAGCGGATGGCCGTCTCCCGGTCAGGCAACGCCTTAGCAGCAAACTCCTCAGGCGCTTGGGCAGCCCAGGCAGCAGCAATGGCGGCACGCTCCGATTGCTCTCTCTGCAGCTCATCTCCCAGCCGAGCGATTTCTTCGGCTGACCGGGCATTCTCGGCCTCCAGCTGTTGGATCTTGGCCTGCGCCTGCTCATCGGCCTCTTTAGCAGCCTTAAGCAATCCATCATGTTTGGCGTAGAGCTGGCGGTAAACCACGCAGTGCTCTGTCCATTTGGCCTCGATCTTATCTGCCTTGGCCCGGGCAGCCTAGGCTTCCTTCCGGCATTCGACCATCATGGCCTCCATCCGGGCCTTCTCCTCATCCATCGACTTCACCAGCCGGGCAAAGTACTCCTCCCCGATCCGGCCGACCTGCTTTAAAGACATAGAAAACTTCTCAGAAAAGTATAAAAACGAGGAGAGGGCGGTATGGGAGAAAAAGGCGTTACCTCATTTATTTCAGATCGGAACGCTCAGAAGAGCTCCTCGTTTGACCTGGACATCAAATCCAGGGAACGGGGCACGATGGGTCCCTTGCCAGCGTCGGAGGACTGGGGTCCCTGGTGAGATGGCTGGTTGACCTCTTCGGTCTTCCGCCTCTTCCGTTGAAGAGACTCCCCAACTGCCTCTTCCTCGGGGACGCCTCCCTCGTTGGGCTGACCTCCCACCCCGGCCTGGGACGTATGCCTAGTCTCCCCCATCAGGTTGTCAAACTCGAATGTGTCTACGTTGAAGTAGTTCTCCCCCGAGTGAATGGGCTGATTGGTTCCCTGATGGGATTGGGTTGGTTGCTCTTCCAGGGAGAAGGGCTGGCTGGATGGGGGGATGATTAGCTGAGCAGTGGAGGGCTCCTCAACCACTATTTGTGGAACGGCGAACTTGGATTGAAACTTCACCACTGCAGAAAAGAAAGACCAGTTAGAAGAGTAGCGATACAGAACAAAAGAAAAAATGGAAGGAAAATAAAGGGTAGTTGATTGAGCTTTCTCTTTCTTCTTCTTTGCCGGGCAGGAAGGACCGGCGGTGGCTGTGGCCAGGGCTTCGGATCCCCTCGCCCGGCTGATGGGGATAGCTTTGGGGATCGCCCCTGGCAAGACGATCTCCAGCTCAGGGTCAGTCTCCCGGCCGGGATAGACGCTCCACTTCCCGACGTGGTAAAGACCGCGGGTGGAGGCATCCCCGGCCTAGAGAGTGGCTTCCCAAGCAGCCAGGTCATCGGCTTCCGCTGGTTTGACCTGGCGCTTCATTCTCTTCCCCTAGACATTCTGGGCAAAAGGGAAAGCGGCCGGGGGGGAATTTGATGGACACGTATTTGTCCTTCCACTTCTTGTTAGAAGGAGGAAGGCCACAGAGAAATGTCCGGCCTTGGTGAGAAGACACCTCCACGAATCTAAGGGTTTCCTTGGACCCGGGCCGGACATCGAACATATGGTCGAAGAGACGAAGGGAGAGGGGAATACGAAGAAACCGGCAGACATTGATGAAGCTGCCTAACAAACGGTGACCATTAGGGGCAAGCTGCCCGGGCATGATACCGTATGACTCGAGGAAAAGGACTTTGAACGGGTGAATAGAGAATTCGCCCAGGTCCTTGATAGAGTGGTAGTGGATGCCAATCGCCGTACCGACATGGAGAGGAATAATGCTCTTCCATGTTGCCCGGTAAGTCAATTGATACCCATCCGGCATCAGGTTGCGCACCTCGTGGACTTGGGCCTTCTGCATGACCGACGATTGCGTTTGGACTAACCGGTCATCAAGCAGAATGTAGCCTTCGTCCCCGGGTTGGGCAACCGAGACTACTTGCGCCACGGGAGAAGAAGGAGCGCAGGTGGAAGCATCAGCCGGCTTCTTCTGTGGAGAAGTAGCCGGGTGCTCAGAATTTGAGGATGAAGACGAGGAAGAGAAACCAAGGGTTGGAGACCGGCCGCCAGAACCATAAGAGGGGACGGAAGGGTTCTGGCTATCCTCACGGTCTGACATGACTCAAAAAGGGAAGGAGAGAAACTTACTTGTAGACAGTTAGAAGACTTGGAGGACTCGGAAATAGTAGAAGCAGCCGGGCAGTTTTTTGAATTGAAGATTTGCAAGTGAGGAAATTCTAGGGAGAATCACGCTTTATATAGAAGGGATGCCGCCCGGACAGACCAACGAAAGAATGACACGTGGCAGCTGAAATGATTTGCCATCATAACCTCTCGGGAAGACGAAACGGCACAATGGATCGGCGGCTCCGTACCCGATTTCGAGAAGATTCTCCCGCCTTGGACACCCGGTTTTCGAAATTTGAATTTTGAAAATTCAAATTTCAAATATTTTGGGGTTGGCGCAGGTTTTCCGAGACGAATTTCCCGCCAAAAACGACTGGGCAGTTCAAATTTCAAGAGATAATCGCATGTGCTTCCCGCTCCTGATGGTCCCCACTGGACCGGGAATCGGAGGACTCCTTGATGGGTAATAACCCACGGATACCACCCGGTTGGTTCGCCCGACTGGGTGGTGATTGAAGTGATAGAGCGCATCCTTCTTAGACCGGGTCGTGAGGCCGGTGGGCTGGGAGGATTGAACGCCAACAACTATAGAGATGTTCTCCAAGTGTTCTTATGGGGCCGGTCAGAGGACTGACTGGTTGAATAATCAGAGACGTGCTTGATGTGCTTAACTTTGTTATAAATACCCTTAAAATCCTCATTTGTGAGGTATGTTTTTTATTAACCTGCACGGCTTGTACTTTGTAATAGTCCTAATATTATCAATAACAAACCGGGTTACAGGTGTTTCCACCTACAACCCTTCCGATCACTTATACTTAATATTTGCGTGGTAATTTACACCATCACCTGCTTTTATACTGCATATACTTTCAGGGTAAAAGGAACAACTAGGGGTAGTTTAGACACAAATTGGCTATTTTTGACCTTGCCTTAAATTGTGTGAAGTTAAATCATTGGTTACATTTAAAGACAGAGGGAGTAGTTCATAGACTTCATACCTCATAGCCCTCTCCCTAAGCCTTCACCTCCCACTTGCTATCCTGGCAGTATACTGCATATACTTTCAATGTAAAGAGAGGGACTAGGGGTGGGGAAGGGGGTAAGAGTGAGGGTATAGAGGAGAGATTAGAGGGGATGAATCATCATACTTACAAGAACCATCATCTATAGTGACAAGCTGGGTGACATGTTCGTCTTACATTTGTTCTGAGAAATATTTTTTGACAATGGCATGAATGTGACATGTTGCATCTTCATATAATTTTTTAGTACAAATGTATTTACCGATGTGAGATTTAAAGTGACACGTTACTACATGTATGAAGACTGGCCTAAGTAGACCACTTCCTTGGTCTATGTTGAGTTGAGTTGAGTTGCCCGGCCTTTTGTTTGTTTAGCTATAAGTATGGTCCAAATAAGAGGGTCTTTGGGTGTTGAGCTCAACTACTAATATGCATTTTTTCTTCGATCCAGAATCTTGTTGGGTCACTGGGCGGTTAGGTAAATCACATGAATATTTTATCAGAAAATTACTCTAGGGTACTATTGATTTTTTTTGTTAAAAACTATTAGGTTTCACATTTTTTTAAAAAAATTTAGGATATCCTTCATTTTCTAATAAAAACTTATAGGTCTCATATTATCCAAAATAAACTCTAAATTTTTTTATTTTGACATATACTAAATTTAACATTGATAATTATTATTTTATTATATTCTAATAAAATAATTCTATTTGTGAAAGTAAATGAAGTGTCAACCCTATTGCCAAAACAAACAGAATGTATTCTTGAAATACAATATCACAAGTTTTAAGAATTGAAGTATATTTAAATAATGCGAGACATGAGAAGTATTGAGTATTAGTTTTTTTTCTGAGTATTTATCTAACTTTGATTTTTTTTCAATCAAATTATTAAGGGAGTACCTAACCAAAATTTTGGTGAAATTATGTTTGTATGGAATATCTAATATCTAAGAATTACGCTATGGGTAGCCCAAGGTTTGTACCCCATTTTGTACCCCGCAGTTTTGCACCAATATTTTGTGTTGGTGTAAAACTAATTTTTGTTAAACGCACCAACATTTGTGTCCGTGTAAATTTTTATTAATGCACCAACACACTTGTGTCGGTGTAAACCATCAAAATGTTTATGCAAACCTGTGGTGTACAAATGGGATATATTTTTTGGTGTAAGTGTAGCATGCTCCAATATCTAACTCTAATAAATCTATTGTGTATGGTTTATCCCAAAATTTTGGTTTGTGCAGGATTAGGTCTGTTTACCGAATTGTGCCCTAACGAGGGAGTACTAATTTTCCATCAAACCTGAACTGCCTTTTGTTTCGCATAGATGGGTCGCAGGGGCTTCTCCGGTGGCAGAGGAGGAGGAGGAGGAGGTTAGGAACATGAGAAAATTTTCATTTAAACAAAGGGTTTTCATCCCTAATTGTGCTAGAATTAATTGTCCTTTTGATTTTATGTTTTTTTTGGGTACAAATATTTTGTGTTGTTCAATCCTCTCCATTTTTTCTTTAAAACGCAGGATCCCGTCCTGCCTGCCGTTCAAAGGCATCTCGTGATGCAGAAGGTAATTGAAATCCCTTTTTTGTGGTTTCTTTAATTATTAGTGTTATATACTGAGTATTATTTTTATTATTATACTACTCTATCATAGGAAGATGTTAAATGCTGTCAAAGGAGATACAAAAGATGTTTGGATTCAAATACAACAAATTTAAATACTGTCAATGAAATACTCTTAAGCCATGTTCCCCAACAGAAAGACAAAAGAGCTCTTGGCAAGTAAAGCTTCCTACTTGACCCATTGAACATTTGTGAAGATCAAAAGAAAGAAAGAAACAGATAGAAATCAGTTGTTAGAGTGACCAAACGTGATTATGTTTTTTTTAGTTCATGTATCCGACCCCGAGTTACTTCATTAAAATTTTTGTTTAATTGTTTTGAGTACCTTTGTCCCATTGTTTTCGGGACATGAGGATGTGATACACAAACTCAAAATTTAGAATTATGTTTATGATATTGAGGCTAAAAACTAAGAAAATGTTTGAATGAGTATTGAGTATGAGTCACATAAATGTTTCTAAATGTAGATAGAAACAAAGATAGTGAGATGAAAACATAGAAGCAAATATTGGTGAAAAATGAAATAGTCGGATGAAGGGAGTACTATTTAATATGTTTTCCCTGTTAGATTTTCAACTTTTCAAAAAAGGAAGAAGTGCAAAGTATTAGTATTTGTCTTATCTGATAACCTCTAACTAAACAACTTGAGAGTATACCTCCTAAAGTCAGGGAATAAGAATTGATGGACATAATGTTTTTTCTCATACACTGCTTCCACTATCTTTTGGAGAAGAAAAGGGAGGGTGTTCTTTCTCCTTCCTTATGTGTTGTTTCATTCCTTGAATAGGTAAAATTTTAATGCAGCAAGCTGCTGCTAGCAATGGATTCAGGTCTACTTGGGATCGTATTTGGTATGGGCCTGACAATAGTCATGAAGACTTATGCAAATCACTTGTGGAGAGCTTTGAACTGGTAAATATTTCTTCAACCAGAGTAACCTAACATTGTTTTTGCGTTTTGGTATTTTACATTTTTACCTACAACTTGGGTTACTTGACTTAATCTAGGATCAAACTTAAACCAGCTGAAAAGTTCCTTTCATTCCTTGATATGGTTAGAAATGTTTACTATTTTGCACATATAGAACAACACCAGTAGTAAAAGATACGCCCTTTAAGCACCAACCAGTCAACCACGTACTTATCATCTATTCCTTCTGTTTGTTTGACTGGCCCCTTTTCAATTTATGATGTTTGACTAATGCATTTTCAGTTTAACTTATCAAAGTACTGGTGCAAAATTTAGAATTTAAATCTTTATATTTAAAGACACAAAATTTCTATAAAACAAGAGGTGGCTTGGCTATGCTATTGTGTTACAAATGGTTGATGAAAGTATGTGAGGAAGCTCAGAAAAGAAGATTTTGACTTATCTCCAAGTAGACCAGATCGGTAAAACAAAATGGAGTGAGTATGTGATTTCAAAAAAACTTTGGATATATGTACTACCTTTACGTTTTACGGAGTATTTGCTTTTCTGAAAAACTAGACTGTACAGTAGAAAACATGTTTACAAAATTATCCTAATGCTCAAAGGCTCCCCCCTGTTTTGGGGTTGGGGGGGGGGGTCAGATGTACATAACCCAACCTTTATGTTTTAAACATAGAACAGTTGTTTCCCCGTGACCATTATGAATGTTGAAAGTTGCATTGACTAATTGTTACTTTACTATTAAAAGAAGGTCATGGACTCACGGATCTCTAATTTTTTACTTTCCCAAATTTAAAGAAGTCATCTTTTAGGCATTTTTAGGATTGATGGTGCTAAGAGGATAATGAGCTAGGTAATGAAGTCTACAAAAAATTGAGGTAAAGTGAGGTGATGTACCTTAAAGAGGTTAAGAATGATGGTAGGTATTTTGCTAAAATGTTGTAACCCAAGCTGCAAAAGTACTTTCATCACTCTTATCTTATTAGAGATAAGGACTATATGGCCTTTTTTCCATCTCGGCCCAGGCCATCGAATTCTCAGGAGTCAGGACCGGCCCTGAAGAGTATAATGACTTAGGTAATAAAGTCTGCAAAAATGAGTACTACAAAATTGAGGTAAAGGGAGATGATGTACCTTAAGGAAGGTAAGGCTGCAAATTTACTCATCTCATCAATCAATACTCATCCATCCCAAACTACCCTTCTCTTCTAACTTCCTCTCTCACAAAGACAACGTAAAGAACTGAAGTGGAAGGCTCTGATTGTTCTCAGGACAAATACGGAAGAGGAAGGCTTTGATTGTTCATAGATGTTAGAGATCATTATCACATTTTCTCATAGAATGAAGAAGAACACTCCTATTGTCAAGTGTCAACTGACTAAAGACGAAGGATTATTTATGCATTTGTTCACAAAGCTCAAATTCACAATTGAGATGAGGAGGGTTATTAGAATTTTTTTTAAAATTTCATTTTAGACTATTTTTTTATTATATTTTTTTGGGTGTATTAAAGTAAGGTTCTTAGTTTACCTCTCTTTCCAAAAAAAATTTATAAGGGTGTTGCTATATATATATATATATATATATATATATATATATATATATATATATATATATATATATATATATATGGGTGGGGTTCCAGTGCCACTGGAATCCGGTGCCACTAGCGGTGCCACAGGCATTTTGGGGCACCTCCGGTGCTCCGTTCGCAAAATTGACGATTCCTACCCCCCCTAACCCACCCCCTAAACCCCCCACCCTACCCCCGCCCCTGCACCCCCAC